AGCTCAGCATTCCCAAAGGTGAGACCACAGTGGAAGGAGAAACCCAGAGCTGGAGCAAATGAGGTTAAAAAATTACCTCTTTTTTACATATTCCTGTTGAATGTGAACAAGATTCCCAAGTTTTAACCCCAGACACCTCGATCCAAAGCAGCAGCACTGCAAACCTTCCCATAAAAACCTTAAAACAGAGTAACCAGAGTCCATTATTCTTATGAGAAAGAAGATCAGAAACCTTGCAAAGCAATCAGAAACCTCAATTACTGCACTGCTTTGTCCAGAAAGTTAATTCCTGTATCAGATTAATGCCTTAATAAGGACTAATTCCCAGTTTTCCTTCAACAAACCTCCTGGAACTACAAGCCTGAAGGGCTGTTCTCAGCAACTTGCTCAACCTCTTTAGGTCCCTTCAGGTTTTTATAACACAGAATTCCAAGAAATTGGATTGTTCTGTGGGGTTTTGGAGCATTTTGCCACCACCAAATCAACACCTGGGGTGTATTTTTGCAGCAGGTGCTGCCCGGGGTGGGTGTGACACACTGACCCACATTCCAGGCTCAGGAGCTGGGAAATCATCTCCTGAGCAAGAGGAAGAGCCAGGAGGGGAAGAAAAGCACCCAGGAACGGGATGAGGAGCCCCAGAATTCCCTTCAGCTGGAATAGCTGTCCTCAGGTGCACCTGGAATGACTTCAGCTCCTCCAGAATTCCCTTCAGCTGGAATAGCTGTCCTCAGGTGCACCTGGAATGACTTCAGCTCCTCCAGAATTCCCTTCAGCTGGAATAGCTGTCCTCAGGTGCACCTGGAATGACTTCACCTCCTCCTCTGCACTGAGAGACGAGGGGAAACCCCCCCAGTTCACACCCATTTCACACCTTTTAACCCAAAATTGCAGCTGGAAGGAGGGACCATTTAAAACTTTAATTAAAGCCAAGCCTTCAAGGTAAAATGAGACCATTTAATCCCCCCCCAGCCCCCAGCTCAGTTTTATCCAGGTCCCCCTGGAAGCTGCAGCTCCCAAACCTTGACAGGGCCAAGTGCTGCTTGTTCTGCCAACACAGAGCTGAGAAGAAATATGGGAAAATTCACAGGAACTTCTTATTTACAACCAAAAAACCCACCAGGATCCTCCCCACTCCCCTGGATGGGCATCAAAACCTGTAAAGGAGGATGAGAAAACCTCAGAAATCATCTTACCCTGCCACCAACTTCCAACATTCCCTTCTTAGGCCACAGGTTTTCTGTGAATTACAGGGTTATTCCTATGAAATCCAGGATTTCTAACAAGTTTAGGGAATAAAAGGACCATCCTGTGTTTTCTAAGAACCTGGGAATTATGGCTTGTTCCCAAACCTACTGATATGGCAAAGAAATATAAAAATAATTAAGTTTCAGGTCACTTTTGCCCTGAGTGAGGCACACACAGACTGTGGAAGGATTTTATATCACACAGCAAAATACAAATGTGTTCTCCCGTTAAATCCAGCAGGAATATTATTGAGGAACTGCCCACTTTATAAAAGAGAACCATTTACTCCATGAAAACACAAATCAAAGTAAGTACCTTAATTAAGCCATGGTAGCAAATGACTCTATGCCCACAAACTGTGACAAGCCAGAACAAATTTGGTCCAAACCAGAGGTTAAAAAGAGAAAATCTTATTAACTTTAGTGGAAAACACCAAAAATGGACAAACACCTTTCTCATCCCACAGTGGGAAGACATTAATACCACCAAACCCACGTGGAAAATAAACCAAAACCAAGATTTCTGCCAACATTTTGCAGGACCCGAGGATTTCAAACCCTCTTTTAATTCCTGCCCAGATGACAAACCCTGATTTCATCCAGAGCCTTGAGCAGCCCCAGAGGATCCCAGGCCCTTCCAAAGCCCTTAAGCAAATCCCTCACTTGTGGGGACATATTTAGCTGCCATCCATCTCTGCTATTAACAGCTGGGGGACACCAGGCACACACTGCAAATCCTTCTCCACACAGGAACAGAAAGAAAACCCCCAGCCCAAAATCCTTCTGTGTTCCCCTGAATTAATTAAGAAAAATCAAGTTTCTTCTCGCTGCAAAGAGCTTTTCCTTCCTTTTTTTCTTTTTTTCCCCTTGCCTCAGCCTGCAGGACACAGATTATCTCTGGTCACAGGTGAACCTCCCTGCTCTTAAAAACGAGATTTCAACTTTGAAATTATATAGATATATCAAATACATAAATATAATTCCAGCCACCTGATGCCAACACACAGTTTATTGTATTACAGCTGGACAGCCCAGGAGAAAATAAGGATACACAAAGCTGGATAAATGAATGTAAAACAACCCCACACTGCCAACGTGCCCATCCAGCCAAACTGGTTTGCCCAACTCACATCAAATTCATCGTGGCCTTTTATATGGAAATAATTCCAAGTTCTTCAGGAGTTGTCTGGGTTTTAGGGGATTTAAAACACCTGGGAAACACTCCCTCTGTTAAACCTTTAGCTGGGAAATGACAGGAGGTGAAGTGAAAACTTCCAGCACTTTGCTCCCCAGCTCAGGTTAACAGGGAAGTAATTCCCAGACCTGGATTTTCCACGTTCAAAGAAGCAGAATTACCCAAAGGAAACGGGTGGGATTGTCCCTGAAAGGGTATTTTGCTGTCAACTTCTCATCAAAAAGCTGGTGAAAACTCCCATGGGGGGGAAGGCCTCACTTATAAAACCCCAAAAAGCCAAACTTGGAATGTCAGCCCTATGCATTTTAGTCTTTCACCCACTGAGAAAACTAATTTATTCTCTCTATATATATATTTATTTATTTATATTAAGTTAAGGTCCAGTGAGTCCAAAATATATAAATATATAGAACCATTTATGTTCTGGTCTCACTGGACCAATTAAGGGAATTATTTCTTTTCCAGGAGAGAAGAAAAAAAAAGGAGAATCCTTTGACTGAGCTTGGACAGAATTTTCCTGTCAGAAGATGTTGCAGTGAGTGTCTCATCCACGAACACCAGCTCTGGAACAAGGAATCACGTACATCCACCTACACCTCCCTTGCAGGGGAGGAACTCCTACCACTAATGGGAAAGGAAGAGCCTTGGATTCCTCTTGGATTCCTTCTGGCACCGGAGGAGTCGCTCGACCTGCCCCAACTTCCTTCTCTCATTACAGGGAACCCCAAGAATTAGGAACTTGCTGTCAAAAAGCAATTACCCCCCGAGTCCTCCAACAGTTATTCCAGGTAATTGCTGAAATGTAACTGTGAGGTTTAAATTTTAGGCTTAAGGTTCCTCTGATTCTGGGAATTTTATTAGAACGGGAAAAGGAAACAGAGGAGGAAAAAGCAAAAGCTCCCAAGAAAGAAGAGATGTTGTGGGTGAAAAGGAGGGGAAATGGTATTAGGTTTTGGATGAACAGAGCTCCTTAAAATTAACTCTTTTTGGTTAAAGGAAACTTAATTTTGGAAGGGTCAGGCTTGATCTAACACAGATTTACACTGGCCCAGCACAAAGACAACCAAGAGACAGAGCAAAACTCCCCCATCCCAGGCCAGAGGAGCAGCACAGCCCCTGTGTGTGCCCCCAGCAGCTTTATTGAAATACAGAACTTAAGGAACACACACAAAACTAAATCTTATTGGTGACTTTAATTCTTTAATACAAAGAGATCCAAACCACTCCTTCTGCAACACACCTGGATCCTAAGCACCTCCAAGACCAAGAACCCAGGGAAAGACAAGCATCACCTTTGGATGAATCACAGAATCCTGGAATATCCTGAGTGGGAAGGGACCCACAAGGATCATCCAGCCCAACTCTTGGCCCTGCACAGACACCCCAACAATCCCCCCCCGTCCCTCAGAGCGTTGTCCAAACGCTCCTGGAGCTCTGGCAGCCTTGGGAAATAACCATTCCATGGGGAGCCTGGTCAGTGCCCAACCACCCTCTGGAAGGAGAACCTTTCCCTTAGATCCATCCCAACCCCCCTGACACAGCTCCAGCCCTTCCCTGGGTCCTGTCCCTGCTCACAGAGAGCAGAGCTCGGAGCTGCAGCCCCCGAGGAGTCTCCCCTCAGTCCCTTCTCCAGCTGAACCACCCAAGTGCCCTCAGCCGCCCCTCCTTCGGCTTCCCTTAGGAAGGGCTTCCTGAAGAGCTTCCCCTTCCACCACATCCCACCAGAGCCTAATCCAGCCTCTATTTGTTCCTGAAAACAAGGGCAAACCCTGGGACCCGGGGCAAGTCACCAAAGCGTGACCCGACGAACGAGCCCTGCGGGTCACGGGGGCTGGGACCCCCCGCTCCACCCGCCCCGGGGCCCTCGGAGGGGTCAGGGGGCCCCACTCACGCCAATGGTACAAAATACACCGACGAGTAATACAAAAAATTTAAAGGGAGGATAAACGGAAAAAAAAAAAAAAGCCTCGGTTCGCCCCCAGGACTTTTGACAGTCCCCGGAGGAGGAAAATAGAAATTAAAGAGCCGCTGTCACGTTCCTGCCCCCGGTTTTCCCACCGCGGAACCAACCCCCGGCAGCTTTCGGCCGTCACCAAGCCCCGGGCCCGGCCGAACCCCGCCGGGATCACCCGTTTGGTTCGCATTTACCGCACGGATCCCCGCGATCGCGGTGGGTCACCGCCCGACTGCCCCCGCCCGGGGGGATCGGGGGCACCCGGGGCCGAACGCCCTGAGGGGAAGGGGGGGGTTCCCGGGGGTCTCCCGGGGGTTCCCACACAAAGCGGCGGCGGGGCCCGTCCCGTGCCGGGCCTGCGGGGAGGCGGCGGCCGGAGGGGTGCGGGGATGCGGGAGGGATCCGGGAGGGGTCCGCGATGTGGGGGAGACAGCGCCTGAGGGGCGCTGAGGGGGCGGCAGCGAGCGGGGCGGTTCGGGGGGGCTCACCCCCGGCAAAGGGCGGCGGGAGCGGGCCCGGCGCGCTGCCCGCGGCGGGGGCGGCCCCGCGGGGGGCCGTGGAGGGGGATGGCGGCGGTGCGAGGGCGGAGGGCGCGGTCCGGCCGTACCTGCCCGGGGGGTCCGTGCGCGGCGCGGGGGGCGCAGCCGAAGGGGGGTCGCCCGGGCGAGCGCAGCGCCCGCGGCCGCCACCTGCGGCCCGCCCCCCCTGCGCGCCCATTGGCCGCGCGCGGCACCGCCCGCGCCGCCATTGGCCGCGCGGCCGCCGACGGGCAGCGCCCTCAGCCAATAGTGACGCCGCTCGCCGCACAACAAGGAGAGGGAGGGCGCCGATTGGCGGCTCGCGAAGTGTGACGGCCCCGCCCACACCCGCGGGCGGGGCGGAGGGGCGGCCTCGCGTCGCTCAAGGGGAGGTCCAGCCAATAGTGCGCGGCCGTTGGCACGGGGCGGCCCGCCCCCCTGCGGCCATTGGCTGTGGCGGGGGACGGGCGGGCGCGGATTGGCCGCGCGGGCTGTCCGTCGGGCGGGGCGCGCGGCGCTGGGTACGTGAGGAGCCGCACAGCGCGGGGCGGGGGCGCTGCGGCCGCGCTGCGCCAATGGCGGGGGGGGGGAACCGCCAGCGCCCCCCGCGGCCGGGCGGGGAACGGCGGGTACGGGGGGCATCGATAACGGGGGAGTCATCGATAACCAGGGGGGAGTCATCGATAACCAGGGGGGAATCATCGATAACGGGGGGGGCATCGATAACCAGGGGGGAATCATCGATAACGGGGGGGGCATCGGTAACCAGGGGGGAATCATCGATAACGGGGGGGGGCATCGATAATTGGGGGGGGGGCATCGATAACCAGGGGGGAGTCATCGATAACGGGGGGGTCATCGATAACGGGGAGGGTCATCGATAACCAGGGGGGACCGGGGGAACATCCATGACCAGGGAGATCATCAGTGACAGGGGGGCTTCGAGGGGATCATCAGTGGTCTGGGGGATCATCAGTGACCTGGGGGATCACTGATAATTAGGGTGGGGGAGCTGGGGGAGATCATCAATGACTGGGGGAGCCGGGGGGACATCGAGGGGATCATCAATGGCCTCTGGGGTATCATCAATGACCAGGGGAATCATCGATGACATGGGGGGACTGGGAGTCCTGGAGGGACATCGGGGACTGGGGGGACATCAGTAAGTGGGCAGGACCAAGCAGTCCTGGGGATCATCGATCCCATCCAGGATGGACCCCAGTGTTCAGGGGGGATCAATAATGACCAGGAGCTCCTGGGGATCATCAATGACCAGGGGGATCATCAATCCCGATCCCCAAGGCCTCCAAGCACAGCCTCACCCTCCTGGGCTGGACCCCCACCCCTGAGGAGCCCCCCAGGGCACAGCCCAGGGCATGGCAGGGAAAGGGTGCTCAGGCACGGGAAGGGGCTGCCCAGGGAGGTTTGGAGTCCCCATCCTGGAGTGTCCAAGGAAGGACTGGAGGTGGCACTCAGTGGGGATCAATCACAGCTTGAACTCGATGATCCGGGAAGGCTTTTCCAACCTCAGTGATTTTGGGATTCTGTGAAGGTGTTACAGACAGCACAGACAAGGAATAGGGTTGGAAAAGACCCCCAGGATCAAGCCCAACCTTTGCCCCAACACCACCATGGTCACTAAATGGGGGCACGTCCCCAAGTGCCACATCCACACCCTTCTGGACACCTCCAGGGATGGGCACTCCACCACGGCCTGGGCAGCCCCTCCCAGTGCCTGACCACCCTTCCCAGGAAGAAATGTTCCCAATATCCAATTAAACCTCCCCTGGCACAGCCTGAGGCCATTTCCCCTTGTCCTGTCCCTCCTTCCCTGGGAGCAGAGCCTGACCCCCACCTGGCTCCCCCCTCCTGTCAGGGGGTTGTGGAGGTGCCACAGGACCATCCCCACACACCAGACTCTCTTCCCAAACTGTCTGCAATTCCAGGACCGTGGAAGGCTGCCAGGACGAAGAACTATCAGGGGCACCTTTTTAATTTGAGCTCATTAAGGCCTGCAGAGCATCAGTTCTGTGCATTCCCTGGGAATTCCCAAAATAGCTGCAAGATCCTTGCTTAGTTTTTTGCAACATTGTCACTCTTCCTTCCTAATTCCTGATCCAAAAAATACTTTGTTACCAACTCACACGTTGGATTTTTACTCCAGAATTTCACAGCAGAGATGGACACCAGAGTGCTTGGAAGTGAAACATCATCCTGTTAATCATCTCCAGCATTAAAACACAATTCCTTCATATCCACAATCCCCCTCTGTAGCACAGGAATTTTCCCAGTAGGGCTTCATAATTTGGGATTTCCAGATCCCACCACAAAGTGTCTGATTTGCAGAGAAATTCTAATTCAAGCCCAAAAAAAAAAAAAAAAACCTGACACTTCTGTAGGAAAACAAAGTTTGCTTCCCAAATTCCAAATAATAACAAAAGCAATCAACTAAGGAAGTCATTGCAGGGAGTTCTTTCAATTTAAATACAAAAACTCTTCCTCACTTTCACTCCCTCACCCCCAATTCTTCCCATCACAGCATTTGTGAAAAGCTCAGTGGTTGAAGCCTTTGCTTAATGGGACATAAATGCAAATTCCTGCACAAGCAACTAGGTCTGGAAACTACTCTGGAGCCTAAGAATTAAAGGAAAACAGTCAACATTTAATTTGAAAAGTTATTTATTTTGAGAACTTCAGCTTGCACATTGTACAAAAATTTGACAAATTCAACAACAACAACAACAAAAAAAAATCTATAAAATGCTGTGGGGTGGGGTTTCTTTTCCCTAACATATTAACATAATAGTTTTCCAAAGGGTAAGAGTTAAGAAAACAAAAAATAGGCACATTTGTTCCAGTCTGTCTGCAGTAAAGTGTGATTAAAAACATCCCTGTCTTGTTGAGGTATCGAACTGCAAACTTTTGTAGCGGTAGAAAAATACAAAGTGAGCCTTCTCGGTGGCAGGTCCAATACAAAATGGTTCATAGAAAAAGCCAGAATTGGTTATTTTTCATTTCCAGGTAGAAATGCAGCGAAACAAAGAAAAAAAAAAAACAAACTTAATTCACCTATCACTAGGAAACCTGATCCTCTGCAAATCCACACTAATCACACACAGCTACAGTGTTCCATGTTACCAAAGGTCTGGCTGGCAAGTTAAAAACAATTCAGTGCTTATGAAAAAAAAAAAAAAAAAACAAAAAGGAAGATCTATATGGTGATTCAGAGCCCAGTCTTCCAGCAAAGGACAAAAGGCACTTAAGGATGGCTTTAGGATATTCCACAATGGCATTTCGGGACAGAGGACAGCGCCTGGCTGAACAAATCCTTCCCTACAACGAGTCCAGTGAGGTAGTACTTCATATTGCTCCAACTACTTGGCTCTAAGCAAGCAGCTTTATGGTTTTGATCATATAAAATTAGCAGGAAATGGCTTTTTGTAAAACTTATAAAACCCCAGTTCTTACAAAAAAAAAAAAAAAAAAAAATAGCAAATACCCACTTGTGGTACAAAGCCAGGAACCACCTTGTACAAATTTGGAGGATCAAAATGCTGCCAAGGTGATGCACGAGTCTACCTTGATGGCCAAATCCCCAGACAGTGAAGATTGTTCTAGCAACCAAGCCATTTTTTGGAATAAAAAAAAAAATAAAAATAAAAGGGGGGGCGTGGGGGGCACTCTGAGAACTTTCCTCATCATTAGCAGCCTCACCAGAAGCACTTTCAGTCCATTAAGAACAAATAATTCTGTGCTGAATGAATGGCAGGTTTGAGGGGAGAAAAAAACCACAAGAAACAAAAAAAAAAAAAGAAAGCAAACTTCAACATTTAGAACAAAAAACCGAAAATCCACGAATGTACAAAAGGACAGTCCTGGGAGTTTACAGTTTTTTTTAAAAAACGAGGAAGACTTCAAACCTTTTTAGGGGGGGTCTGGGAGAACACAGCCTACAGGTTTGCTGGTTTGTTTGTTTTGCTTTTGTTTGTTTTTTTTTTTTTAAATTAAGCCCGTGGTTTAAGTGTGAACCCAAGGAAAGGAGAAGTGCTTTAGGGAATCACCGGCCGTTGCCGTAGCCGGGGAAGAGCTGGGTCAGGATGTCCTGCAGGGCCTCGTTCACCTCCATGCTGTAGGTCTTGCCCAGGTCGTAGCGACAGGCAGGGCAGCTGTACACGTCAGCCCTGAAGGATCTGTCCAGGCAGTCCTGAGGGACACAAGAATTCACAATTAAGGGATGTGTGGTTCTGGGTTTTCAGCTGGGAAAGGCCGAGGTGGAGAGAAAACTTGGCTCTGTGCACCTCAGGGTGTTCCAACCGCCACCCCCAATGCTCCCAGGAACCCAACATCATGTTGGATTCCACATCATCTCATCATCATCAAACCCATTAAAAGCAAAGTGGTCAAAAAAGGGTTGTTGGCCAGCTAAAGGGAAGGATCTGTCCAGAGAGTCCTGAGGGACACAAGAATTCCCAGTTAAGGGATGTGTTGTTCCGGGTTTTCAGCTGGGAGAGGCTGAGGTGGAAAGAAAACTTGGCTCCATGCACCTCAGGGTGTTCCAACCGCCACCCCCAATGCTCCCAGGAACCCAACATCATGTTGGATTCCACATCATCTCATCATCATCAAACCCATTAAAAGCAAAGTGGTCAAAAAAGGGTTGTTGGAAGAGACAAAGAAGCAGAGAAAGGGAAGGATCTGTCCTGAGAACAGAGGGGAACAACACGGCAGCTTCTGAAAACTACTGAGGCCAAATGGGAACTGCCTGGGTCGAGATGAAGAGGTAAAGATGGCACAGAATGGTTTGGGTTGGAAAGGACCTTAAAGCCCATCTTGTTCCACCCCCTGCCATGGGCAGGGACACCTCCCACTAGTCCAGGTTACTCCAACCTGGCCTTGGACACTTCCAGGGCTGGGGCAGCCACAGCTTCTCTGGGAAATCCATCCCAGCCCCTCCTCACCCTCCCAGGCAAGAATTCCTTCCCAATATCCCACCTAACCCTCCCTCTGGCAGCGGGAAGCCATTCCCTGTGTCCTGTCCCTCCATCCCTTGTCCAAAGTCCCTCTAAACCTGACTGGTGCTAAAGGACTAATTCCTGGCAAAAATGCCAAAGGAACCAAGCCCTGCCCAGG